AGCCTGCCGCTGGGGCGGGGTTGTGCAGGAAGCCCCGCCCCCTCCCCCCGGCCTGGGATTGCAGAGTGGTTATAGTAAGAGGGGGTCTTTGGCTCAGGCTGCGCAAACCTCCCCCAAAGTGCCTGCAACCGAGTACTCCCTCTGCACCCTCCTATCCTCTGCTCCCCATTCAGGCCAAATGTCAGGAAAGATTTTTTTTTCTTTTCTGTTTCCTTTTTAATGATTTATTTGAAAGGCAGAGTTGCAGAGAGAGAGAGACAGAGATCTTCCATCCACTGGTTAACTCCCCAAATGGTTGCAACAGCCAAGGTGGGGCCAGGTCTCCATCCGGGTCTCCCACGCGGGTGCAGGGGCCCAAGCACTTGGGCCATCCTCCGCTGCTTTCCCAGGCCCATTAGCAGGGAGCTGTATCGGATGCGGAGCAGACGCCCATATGGGATGCCGGCATCACAGGTGGCACCTTAACCCTCTGCAACTTGACAAAGCTGACACCATTAGGATCCCCACTTGATGGATTAGGGAACCGAGGCAGAGAAAGGGGGAGCCTCCTGCTGAGGTCGTCCTGGAAGGACCCAGCGGGGAGGGGAGCTCTAACAGTGAGCTCAACTCGGAGAGAGGCCAAGAGACACGGGGCTGTGGTGCAACCGGCTCCTCCCCTCGCTCCCATGGCAAGGGGCAGGCCACAGGGGAGGAGCCCAGAAAAGGCCTGGTCAGTGGGGCAGGGTTGAACTTGAACCTCAAAGGACAAGAAGATTTGGGAAGAGGGAGGAGGCATTCCTTACTGCAAATCCAGTACCCGTGACTGCAAACTCAGCGTCCCCTTACTACAAATTCGGAGATCTCAGAAGCAGAGAGCTGGATCCCATCTGGGGACGGTTTCCCAGCGCGTGGAAGAAGCCACGCAAAGCTGAGGCCGTGCTTGGGAACCACAAGGACCTGGGTTGAATTCTGGCTTTGTCATTTCCTGCCAGTCACTCATCTCCTCTGCAAGGACAAGGACAGTGCCTCCAAGGAGCTTTCTGGGCATAAAAGGAACGCAGACAACGTTGTACCATTGCAGCAAGTAAGCACTCCATCAGTGTTGGCGGCTGCTTACCGCCGACCCAAGTCACTTAACCCCTGAGCCTCGGTTTTCTCAGCTGCAAAATGGGGTGATGATGCTTTTGAAACAGCGCTGCTGGGAAGATGAACGAGATAGCATGCTCCCCTCCCCTCGAGGGCCTGGCACAACACGTTCATTGCTTCCAGCACACGTGAACTTGAACACACAGGTGTGAGCTGAGGAAGCATCCAGCGTGCTTCCCTCCCTCCCGGTGACGCCGCCTCCTGGGCCTGGGGTGAGGCAGCCACACACAGAGGAGGCATCCTCCGTACCCAAAAGCTCCTGCTGGGTTCAACTTCCGGGTTCCTCCTCCTCGGGCCCTGCTGGTGCAGTGAACGGGGCAGGGGCAGTGGGGGACTGGGGGACGCGTCTACAAGGACATCCTTCCAGTTGGGTTGACCAGGGGGAAGGCAGAATGTTCTGGAAGCAGCGGCAGAGACAACGTGCTTCTCCCAAAGGCTGAGCCGCAGACCTCAGCTCTTGCTGTTTTTAAACAAACCACAAATTAATGAGCACTTATTATGTTCCAGGCAGTAGGCCAACAGTCTTCATGGATGCCAGCTGTTCCATCTGTGTGGCTTAAAGCAAACGACTTCGCGTCACTGAACCTCAGTCTCTTGATCCGTGAAATGGCCTTAACAATCAGTGTCTGGGCCGGCGCCGCGGCTCACTAGGCTAATCCTCCGCCTAGCGGCGCCGGCACACTGGGTTCTAGTCCCGGTCGGGGTGCCGGATTCTGTCCCGGTTGCCCCTCTTCCAGGCCAGCCCTCTGCTGTGGCCAGGGAGTGCAGTGGAGGATGGCCCAGGTGCTTGGGTCCTGCACCCCATGGGAGACCAGGAAAAGCACCTGGCTCCTGGCTCCTGCCATCGGATCAGCGCGGTGCGCCGGCCGCAGCGCGCCGGCCGCGGCGGCCATTGGAGGGTGAACCAACGGCAAAGGAAGACCTTTCTCTCTGTCTCTCTCTCTCTCACTGTCCACTCTGCCTGTCAAAAAAAAAAAAAAAAAAAAAAAAAAAAAAAAAACAATCAGTGTCTGTCTTGCTAGGGCTGTGATGAGAGTTAAATGAGTTAATACGCTAGTAGCTGAGTCGAAGGCAAGCTAAACTTGGTGTGGCCGGCAGGCAGTTCATCAGCTTAATCCTTGCAATAACCCCGAAAGATGGAAATATGGCTTTCTTCACCCCCACTTTGTTTTTAAAAATTACTTATTTATTTGAAAGGCAGAATTACAGAGAGAGAGAGAGAGAGAGAGAGAGAGAGAGAGAGAGAAAGAGAGAAAGAGAGGAAGAGAGAGAGAGAGAGAGAGAGAGGTCTTCCATCTGCTGGTTCACTCCTCAGATGGCTGCAACAGCCAAAGCTGGGCCGATTGGAAGCCAGGAGCCAGGAGCTTCTTCTGGGTCTCCCACGCAGGTGCACCACAATGCAGACCCCTCACTCCCACTTTTTAAAAAGAGAAAATGAAGTTCAGGGAGATTAAAGTAGCTGTTGCTAAGTGCTGACCTGGTGCCATACAAAGGCACGTGGAGAACACGTGATCAAACGGGTTCCTGCAGAGAGCGCTCTGTGCCGGGTCTGTAGCGTGTGCAGCATCCCGGGGATCTGCAGGTGGAGACCCCTAGGGGTCAGGGGGCTTGGTGGGGGCTATGTAGGCAGCAAGAGGCACAGGTAGAGGGAGCACTGTGACCCGGCACTGACTACGAAGAGACTTCCTTGGCGAGTGCTGTGGCTCCCACTCTACCTCTCCCTAGGCCTGGGGGTTCCCGCTTGGCCTCTCTTTGAGAAGGAAGGAGGGCTGCGGGTGAGGGGCCACTCTTTTTTTTTTAAGATTTAATTGTTTATTTGAAAGCCAGAGTTACAGAGAGAAAGGGACAGTGAGAGATCTTCCATTCTCTGCTTCTTGCCCCAAGTGGCCACGAAGACTGGGGCTGGGGCTGGAGCTCCATCCGGGTCTCCCATGTAGGTGCAGGGACCCCAAGCACTTGGGGCCATTCTCCGCTGCTGTCCCAGGTGCATTAGCAGGGAGCCGGATCAGAAGTGGAGCAGTCAGGACTCGATCCAGTGCTCATATGGGATGCTGGCACTGCAGGAGGCGGCTTTACCTGCTACGCCACAGCCCCAGCCCCGAGCGGTCACTCTTGGACAAGGTCATTCGTAGGCTACCTGCCCTGTCAGGGGTGTCTGTCCCCACAGCCACCTGAACCACGAACGCAGAGCACCCATCAGCTCTTGCAGAGGCAGGAAGATGTCTCCAGTAGAAAGGGACACGCCCCCCGCGCCCACCGGCCATCCCCCTGCTGGCTCCACAGCTGTCCTGCCCACAGTCCGTCTCTGCCCTCGGGTGCTGCTGGGCACGTGGAGAGCCCCTGGCAAGCTCCAGGAGCTGCCAGAACAGTTGGTAATTTGCTCATTTTATTAATGAATGTGCACGGATGCCAACCACATGGAAACTGCTGCCTGGGAACCGGGGCCGGAACAGGCTCTGGGGAGTTTCCTGGCTGGACCCTGGCGACGGGAGAAACACAAGGGGACCTAGGGGGAGAAGGGAGGCAGGCAGCCAATGGCCTAAGTTAGGGCAGCTGGGGGGGCATCCAAGAACCTCAGAGATTGTGAGAAGCTTGGCAGGAAAAGGACAGCTGTGGAGAAGTGGCTGGAGAGGAGCCCGGAGCGCCGATCCTCAGCCGGAGGACCAGGCGCCTTGCTTAGCCGGGCACCAGGCACCTGGCACCGCTGTCCCCCAGGCTCCGTTGCCGGAGCAGGGTAGATGGCAGTGGTGCGGCACCTGCAGAGGGTCTTGGAAACCCTCAAAGCAATGGCGAGGACCCTCTCTCGAGGGGCTGCGGGGCTGATGCCCAGTTCTAAGGACGGCGTGCAGGGCCTGGGGCGTGGCCCAGGGCAGCACCTGCAGGCTGCAAGGAGAAAGGCACTTCCAGGAAGTGGGCCTTCCTGCGGAAGTAGCCGGCAGGTGGACCCGCGCGCGGGGGTGGGGCAAGCTCAGGCCCTGGGTCCCGGGCGTGGGCACTGGAAGCACCCTCTCCTGCTGCCAGGATGTGTGTGCTATTACTGGCCGGCGAATAAATAATCCCTGAGCCTCAACGGGCTCTTTACCCTTTAAGGGAATGAACTCCAGCTGCTTTGGGAAATGAAAGCTGGGCTGGGGGAAGTGTTTCTCCAGCGCCTTGCTTTGCACTTGGTTTGGCCCTGAACTTGTGCTGGGTTAAATTAGTGGTGCTGGGAGGTGGGAGCGTAATCCAGCTCTGGCATGCGGGGGTTTGGGGTGGGGACTGGGGGGAGGGGGGAAGGGAACGGGCCAGGGGGTGGTCCTTAAGCCACTGAGGGCCTGCTCTCAGAAGGCCATTGTCTGTGGAAGGCCCCCTGGCTTTGGGCGCCTGGCCCCTTCCTACTTGCTGGCCACCACAGGACCCTCCCACAACCCACGCCCTGCCTCTCCTATTCTCTGTTCTCAGAGGCAAAGCTGATGGGGCTGTCTGAGTGTGGACTTGAACCTCCAACGCTGAGCTGAGTGACCCTTTTCTGTTTACAAAGTCAGCTTCTCACGGGTATCTCACTGTAGCCGTGAGAAGCTGAGGTACACGTGGGGTGAGTGAGAGAGACGGGCATGGAAGCCAGCGGGGACTTGAGGAGGCACGAGACAGGATCCCTCACCCGCAGGACACTGGACCCAGGGGCCGTAGCAGATGCCCACACCAGCCCCGCCCTGGCCTCCTCATAGCCTAGCCTGGGCATCTCCGTCTAGTTTGTTTGTACCCTTAAAACTGCCAAATATGTTGCTCATGCTCACCCAATATATATATTCATGTATAAATAAGAACCCTGCTTTGCTGTATAACACATTACAAATGTCAACACATACATGAAAATATAATTAAAATACATATAATACTTTAAAATGTTTTAATAATTGTGATTTTTAAAAATTACTTATTTATCTGAAGGGTAGAGCAACAGAGAGAGAGAGGAGACATGGTAGAGATCTCCCCACCAACTCCCTCCCGAATGGCTCCAGTAGGCAGAGCTGTGCCAGGCTAAAGCCAGGAGCTCAGAATTTCTCCACCTGGCTCTCTCACACATGTGAGGTTCATCCAGGTCTCCCACGTGGGTGCAGAGACCCAAGCACTGGGGCCATCTTCCACTGCTTTTCCCAGGCCGTAGCAGAGAGCTGGATCAGAAGTGGAGCAGCTGGGACTCGAACCGGCGCCCGTATGAGATGTAGGTGCCGCAGGTGTCGGATCTATCCACCGCGCCACAGCGCCAGCCCCTCGACTGGATCCTCTCACTGGTGCGTGGGGTCGCAGAGCAGGGGCCACCAGGAGCGAGGCTGCGGCGCTCGGCCGAGTCCTGCAGGCAGCACGCTTCCCCAAGGCGCCTCTTTCCCTCTTCCCTTTGTTCTCCCTTCTGCTTTCTTTTGAAGTCCGCTGCCCATTTGGTGGAAATCTGTTGAAGGGCATTATTATCTAGAAATCCGCTAACTGGTCTCACATGGAGAGAAAAGTTCCTCCAACTGCTGGAGGCGAGGCTCAGAGCAGGGCTGCGCGCCTCCCTGTGTGGTCCCACTCCCAGGGTCCCACTCTACCCTGGGGACAGAGAAACCCAGTGTGGACACTGGTGCCATGCCTACATACCTATAGACGGGAGGAGCTGGAAGCCCGCCCGCCCTTCCTCCCTCTGTCTCTCTCTCTCTCCCTCTCCCTCTCCCTCTCCCTCTCCCTCTCCCTCTCCCTCTCCCTCTCCCTCTCCCTCTCCCTCTCCCTCTCCCTCTCCCTCTCCCTCTCCCTCTCCATCTCCATCTCCATCTCCTTATCTCTCTCCCTCTCCCTCTCTCTCTTTCTTCTCATGGATGAGTGGGACTGGAGCTAAATTTTTAATAAGTCTTTCCCTTCCAAAGCTCCCCCTTAATCACCTCCTGGAGTGCTCCCCCTGGGGGACCTCAGGGTCAAGCTCCTGCCCGCCCCTTCCCTTCCTGTCCGGTCCATGTTGCATGCGATCATCGCTGGCATGAGCGAGGAGGGCGTGGCACGTGCAGATCCGTGCAGCCCCTGCCCCATCTCCTGCGAGCCTTAGGGAGAGTGACCCTGCTTAGCAGGTGTCTCGGATGGAACAGGACTTGGCACCCCAAATCATGCAGATGCTCACACCCCCAAAGCCGTACCTTAACAGCTCATGGATCAGTGCTGGTGGCGGATGGATTAGGGTGGAGGGCTGGCCTCATTATGGCGGTGGGTTCAGGGGGAGGTCTTGGAGTCACAGGGGCCTTGTGTTCAGCGGGGCGCTCCCCAGAGAGGGGGCGCTATTCAGGCTGAGCTGGGCCTCGCCGCTCTCTGTGTCCTGGTCACCACATGACGGTTCCTCCGCACCTGCTCCGCCATGGCCAGCGCCACCCGGCTCCAGGCTAATTGCGCCACCTGATCTGGTACTGCGAACCTCTATGAGCAGAAAGGAGCCCTATCCTTCCCAAGAGGCTCCTCTCGGGGACATCAGCTAAAGTACCAAAAAGCTGCCTACCACGGCAGGCCTGGCCCTGCCCTTGCTACCCGGCATGAACCCCTAGGGCCGTCTCAGCTCACTGGGCCCACGGGTCCCAGCCTCAATTCCCCCCTCAGAGAGGCCGGGGTCGGTCCCTACCCAAACAATATTGCACACGCACACGCACACGCACACACACACACACATCATTCTCTATCTCCGTACTTGCTCTGTGACCTTGAGAGCGTCCCTCTCATTGTGGACTCTGCCATCTCCGCTGGACCGGAAGCCGGGGTACCCAGGGAGGACCTGCCTCTGTGTTATTGTGGCACGCTGGGAGCCCGGCATGGCCCCTGGGCCACCGCAGGTGCTCAGTGAATGAGTGACGAAGTGAGGGAGCCAGTGCTGAGCGCTTTCCTGCACTGGGCTTGTCTGTGGTCGCAGCTCGGAGCTCCTGACCTTGGGGAGGCTGGCCTCTCCACTTCACGGCCTGGGTCTCTCCAGCGGCCTCCCTGACACCAAGAGCCGTGGGGGTACAGGTCCCAGGTGCTCAGACAAAGCCTGGAGTGGCTTCCCAGGGACAGAAGAGGCTGTGGACAACGTGGTGACCCCTGCCTCCTAGGAGGGCTGAGACCCTGGAGAGTCTGAGGGGACACACAGCAAGGTCAGAGCGAGAGAGCCATCAGGAAGGAAGGCAGGTGACAGGGGAGTCGGGGCTCTGGTGGGCTGAGCCTTCGGGGACAGGTGTGGCTGCTGGGGACAGGGGATGTGAGCCTCTATGGGGGTCAGAGGCTGGGACCTCCCCCACAGGAGGAGTCCCGGCCAGGGAGCTGCCCCTGCTCACCCGGCTGGCAAATGCCAGCGCACAGGTGCACGCCTGGGCCTCCCCCACACGAGGGCGTGCCCTTCCCTCTTGGTTCGAGCTGGCAGAGAAGAGCGGCGTGCAGGCATGGGGTGGGCGGGCTGCTTCTAGGAGGCCTTCCATCTAGGGCGCTGACCTTGACAATCTGAAACCAGCAGCCTAAGGGCCTCACGGTTGTCGTCTGGAAGGCTTCCTGGAGGAGGTGGGGACCTGTCTGGGTTGAGGATTTGCAGGAGGAAAAGCATGAGCAGATACAGAGTGGGGGTGCCAGGACAGGCTGCCCGGGCCTGGAGACCCTCGGCACAAGTGTGTCCCTAGGAGTCTCCAACAAGCCACCAGTGCCCACTCTGCCTCTGGCGATGGAGACAGAAGGCTCTGCCTCTGCCCAGGTTCCAGTTTCCCCATCAGCAGGTCCAGTGGAAAAGTCCAGAGCAAGTGACCGGGAGGCTGCTGTGGCCCGAGGTTGGCCCTTGTGGGCCCTGCACCACCTCCCCCCCACCCCACCCCACCACGGCCTCTCCAGCTCACACCTCTCCCAGCCACCTCTCTCTGTCAGCTGGCGGCGGGGACCTGCTAATCCCCCTTAACCCCCTTGGCCCTGGCTGCTGTTGCCAAGGGCGGCCTTGGGGGCCTCCCCTCCCAGGAAGCAAGGATTGTGTGACTTACCGGGAGGAAGGGGCCGGCCTGACCTCTGCCCATCTGTTCAGTAGGCTGGCTCCCAACAGAGAGACCATTCAGGTCCCAGCAGATGGCCCACCTGCCACCCTCCTTGGAGTTTCTGGAGACTTGAGGCCCCTGCTGGAAGCCAGGGAGAGGTGGGGAGGAAAGAGGGGCGGGGCAGGGGCGGCTATAGAGAAGGGGTCCGTGTCGGTGCCAGACTCCAGGTCCTGGGCACGAAGCCACTGTCCCTCTGTCCCTGGTTGCCAGACCTGGAGTCCCCCACCCCTCCTGCTGCCCAGCCAGCTTTGCTCCAGCCCCCTCAGAGCCCAGGGCCACGCCCTCAGGCCGGTCCCCTGGGAGCCCATGGCTCCTGAGAGGACAAAGCAGACCACCCTGGAGGTCTGGCTGGTAAATCTACATTCTTTATTATTATTATTATTATTATTATTTGAAAGTTAGAGTTACACAGAGAGAGAAGGAGAGGCAGAGAGAGAGAGAGAGAGAGAGAAAGAGAGAGAGAGAGGTCCTCCATCCGCTGGTTCACTCCCCAAGTGGCTGCATCAGCCGGAGCTGCGCCGATCCGAAGCCAGAGCCAGGAGCTTCTTCCAAGTCTCCCATGAGGGTGCAGGGGCCCAAGGACTTGGGTCATCTTCCACGGCTTTCCCAGGATGGGAAGTGGAGCAGCCGGGTCTTGAACCAGCGCCCACATGGGATGCTGGCGCTTTAGGCCAGGGCGTTAATCCACTGCGCCACAGTTCTTAACGAGCCTCCCAGGAGGTCTCACAGGTGGTGCCCTGGCTCTGCTTCTAGTCCAGTGATAACAAAAGTCTGTGGCCTGGTAGCTCCAGGAGGAATTATCTCACTAACAGGTGAGAGAATGAAGGCTCCCAAAGGCATGGGGTGGGGGGGCAGGACCCCCTCCCCTCCCCCTCCCCTGCACTCCCCCCACACCCCCAGGCCCTGAGAAGATTCCAGTGGCTCCTGTAGCACCTGTGAATCCTAAATAGAGACAGCTCTAAACTCAAAATAACTATAAGGAAATCCCCTGATGACAACAGTATTTTGTGTTTTTTTTTTTTAATATTACATTTTTGACATATTAAATTGTTTAAAGCATCTCCCCTGCCCTGCTTCTGGGGCGCCCGGAGCCAGCCCCTGTCCCCAGTGCCCCATCCAGCGCGGGGGCTGGGCGAGGGCAGGCGCCCACCCCGTCCCAGGCCTGGTCCTTCCCCAGCAGGGGGAGGGGCTTCTCAGGCTTTTCCGGGGTGGGGGGGGAGGTTTAAGCTGAAGTCTCTTGCTTTCTCAGCTTCTGGGGGGCAAAGCCCAGAACCCCCCTCCCACCTAGAGAGGGACCCCCGTACTCCCTGTTTAGAGAAGAAGGCAGTGACCTGCGATGTGGGGGGACAGAGGGGCGCTGCTCTCCTCCTGGGACCGCAGTGTCAGGTGACGCTGGGGAAGAGAGAGGTAGAGGACCCAGGAGCTAGGAAAGGCGGGCTGTGTGTCCTTCCCTGAGTCGCCCACCCTCTCTGAGCCCTGTGCATTAAGCCTACAGCAAGACTGCAAGCACTGGTCCCTGTAAAGCAATCAGCTCAGGGCTGGCTTCCCGGCACTCCCTGCCCCCAGTGAGCCAGCTCAGCACCCTAAGGACGAGCACTGGAGCAGGAGTCAAGACACCTGTGTCCTCATTTGGGCTCTGTCACGGAATGGACGGGGTGACCTTGAGCCATCCCCAAGCCCCTCAGGGCCTCAGTTTCCCCATCTGTACAATGGGCCAGTGGGACCAAGTGACAGCCCCAGTCCCTTTCAGAGCCAAGCTGCCATCACCCTGCCCCGTAGCTCCTGTTCCTCCCTCGTGGGCTCAGTTACACGTCTGGATCTCCAGGAACCCTGCCTCAAGATCCCTAAGCTCTGAGCCTGGCTGGGGACCCTCTGGAGCTGCCCTCCCCTCTTGGGGTCCCCCTGCCCATTCCCAGGCAGGCTGTGGGACCCCCTTCATCAATGCCCAGCTCCGGAGACATTGGAGGCCAAGGCCACGCTTGGCCGGTGCCTTGGGGCTGACAGTTTTCCTTCTGCTGTGCACACGGAGGCAGCGTGGTCCTGGGTGTGAAACAAGCCCCTCTGGGCGGCTCAGGGAGCCTGGGAGCCCCAGCGCCTCCGCCCGGTTTTCGGCAGTGACTCAGGCCTCCGCGTTCGCCGCGGCCGCGATGACTCCTAAAATTGGTTATTTCTCACTGTTGCCTCCACTGTGTGGGCCTTTTTTTTTTTTTTTCAATGTGCATTCACCAGGCTGGGGTGGGGTGGGGGGAGGGGGTGTGAAGCGAGGCAGAAGGAAGAGAAAGAGAAAGAGAGGGGGCGGGCGAGCCGGACAGAAGAGAGAGGCCAGCGCGGCTGTGGGATTCTCACCATCTGCCAGGCTGCCCTGGCCCTGGGTGGGGGCGGGGCAGCAGGTGCGGGGGTGGGCGGGCAGTTCTCACCAGGCTTCTCAGAGGCCAGGGATCAGCGCCTGGGGGAGGGGGGGGAAGCTGAGCCCATCCCCTCCCTTCCCCACACTTTTCATCTTGAGTGCTAGGCACACGGACAATAAGGGGAACAGGTGCAGGCCTGCCCCCAGCTCCTCGCAGGCAGCCGGCCCTGGGCCCTGGGAAGCCTGCGCCCAGGCCCTCAAGAGCTGTAGGCGGGTCAGCTTGGGGAGGGATGTCTGTGGGGGCCTGGGGGTGGTACAGGATGGGGGTGGGGTTCCGAAAGGTTTCTGGAGTAATTAATAGTCAAGCTTCGGTGAGAGAAAGACAGGCAGGAGCAGACAGAGACCGGGACCGGGACCGGACGGGGGTGCAGGTCCCAGCACAGATGAGCGCGAGGCCCAGGAGGGGCACCGGGAGCGGACGGCTCTCCCCGCCCGGCCGCCAGATTATGAGCTTCTCTGATGCGAAACTGGGTGCAGTCACCACCCCGGCTCTGTTTGTATAGAGTGTGTGTGCATGCATTCATTCCTTCATTTGTTTTAGCTGGAACAATTTAAACTTCATTACCAAGCTTGCAGAATGAAGTGGCGGATCTATGATGGCCTGTTCCCTTGGGCGGCAACGTACTGCTGCACAGGCTGTGCACTGCATCACTCCATCTGCCGTAGGAGAAACACCCCACGGCCCTGCTCTGGAGTGTCAATTATTAGCAGTAACGCTTCTCCCCCACCCCTCTCTCCCCTTACATAATCGGTTTGGAATAAGGTGCTGGGAGTACAGTGGGGAGTGCGACAGAGAAGATAAAGTTCAGGTGTGCCGTGAGTTGGGGGTCTGGGCAGACCTCTGTCGAGGTGATCTTTCAGCTAAGACCAGTGGTGACGGGGAGGCGGCCACGAAAGAGGCCTGCGGGAAAAGCATTTCCAGCCCGGGCTGGAAAGCAGTTCAGCAAATGCAGGAAGCAGGAGGGCGGCTGTGGTCTTGCTTCCCAGTGAGAGTGAGAGGAGAGGGCCCGGGCGCGGGGATCAGAGTGGCTGCAGGCACAAGTGGGCTTTCCTCCCTCGCGGAGGAAAGCCAAGCTTCAGAATCTCTGCTTTGCTGCTGAGAGGGCGCTCCTGGGCTGCTGGCTGGGGCATGGCCTGGGGGAGGCAGCCCCAAGGGCTGGGGGAGCAGCTAGCAGGAATGACAGGCGCCCTGCCCTGCCCAGAGCTGACAGTGGCTGAGGGGAGGCGAGACCGATGGCAGCAGCCAAGCTGGAGGGGGACACAGAGCACAGAGGACAAACACACGGGGCTGCGGACTCCTGTCACTGGTCACTCTCAGTAGTAATAGGAACAATCACATTATCATTATTATTACTCATGAGTACTTCGCACATTTTTAAAAATTTATTTATTTGAAAGGCCCAGGTAGAGAGATAGAGATCTTCCCTCCCTCCGCTGTTTCACTCCCTAAATGGTCACATCCACCAGGGCTGGGCCAAGCCAAAGTCGGGAGCCTGGAGCTCCATCTGGGTCCCCCATGTGGGTGCAGGGGCCCAAGCACTTGGGCCATCCTCCGCTGCTTTCCCAGGTGCACTAGCGGAGCTGGATCAGAAGTGGAGCAGCCGGGACTTGAACCAGTGCCTGTATGGGATGCCGGGGACAGGGTGGGACTTAACCTGCTACGAAATACTTGGCATTTTACAGCCACTTTCAGCACTTGTAGAAGCAGACTAGGTGCTCGGCACAGTCCCATTTCCAGCTGTGTAAACTGTGGAGCCCTACTGAGGGCCCACTACCTGGAGGACACCCACAGGAACGCCCCCTTCACCCGC